GCACGGTTCCCTCGTCCCTTGGCAGAGGTAGAGAGGTGGGTGTTTTTCATCTGCTGGTGGACTACCGGAGAGAATTACAGCAGGAGCAAACGCTTGCCTCGGGGTGGGAGAAAAAGAGCCAGAGCGGAGAATAAACAGAAGGGCAACCATGGCAACCATGGAAGTCTTCTTCGCTGCTTTTGTGGCAGGACTACAGCGCCACTTACAGGCCTGGCATATGTACTACAGCGTCTCCAGCGCTTTCGAGCGGTCTCGTGTGAACGGACACGTTTCTGGTGCCTGTTGCGTGTGGACGGAAGCCTTTTTTGATAACGATTGCGGTCCGTTTGCGTTATCGTCCTCGTGTGGCTCCAGCCTTAGTTATATCATGTTCTCTGCCTTATGAGCTACCTGCAACCATTTTAGATTATTGATCAAAGATTGTTTTGGTCATAGAAGCATGTTAACAAAGCATTACACATGAATGAAAAATAGAATAAAATAGAAACATAAACAGTAAATAAATACACATCAACAGTAGAAAATGAACATAAACAGAAAATTGTATGTACAGAATTATACCGATGAAGTCTCTCTATATACAATATAAATAAAGAAAATGTAAACAAAGGATACTTATTTCATTACATTTCAATATTAAACAATAAATGTACCAAAATGTAAGTAAGAAAATAATAACAAATGCTTGATAATGTTTTTTTGTATCTGGGTTAAAATATTGACTCAGTTCCTAAAAGTACAAACAATGTGGATTTTTCAAATCGTTTTGGTTTCACTTTAGGTTAAAAATATATATTTATTATCTGATTTCTGATATGCCAAATAAGCTGTATTAATGAATTCTCTCTTTTTGAATGATTATTTTGTATTGCACTTTGGAAGACACCCCAGTTACTGTTACTTCTTAACTTGATATTACACCACAGGTTTGTGTCCCATGTTTGAATGCATGGAACCATAAATGTGTTAATCATTTCTAAAGGAATTGAACCATGTTGTCACTATTAAGACCCCCATGCGCCACCAACAAACATTATATTATATATGTAAGTTATTATGGTTAAACCACGTGACCACGGTTTGGTTTATAGTCTTTCTGAGCAGAGATTTGTATTCATTATTAAAATGAAAACCCATTATTATAACTTACCAAACGTTTTTATCGACGCCTTCTGTTCTTCGTGCATGAATCCTTCGTGACATGATGATCTGTAATAAAGGGACATTTATCATTCGCTTTCTGCACCTGAAACTGAACATGTCTTTAACTGAACTGGAACAGACAACTAGAAAATAATCCAATGCATTAACACGGGTTTCCAAATGAGCACATTCTCCCTGTTGTCATTTACTTTTAAGTGAAATAACTTACTAGTAAGCGGGAGAAGAAGTTAAATAATGACCTCCCGCCCTCCTTATGTTTTCATTTCTATTTCCTGGATGGGCGGGGCGAGACGTCAACGAGCAGTAACCCGGATATAACTCAAGTGTGCGCAGTAATGGCAGAAAATAATATTTAAAAAAATAAATAAAATAAGCAGATAGAATGTATATAAATAAACATAATATATATATTGTTTGTGCAAAAACGTGCATTAATTGAATCGGAACGTAATAATAACTTAAATTGATTTAAACCATGTATTTATTAGACTGTTCTTGTTAATTACTTACAAATGTATGCATTTTCAATATTTTGTATTTGTCATTGACTTTTTCTTTAATGCTGCTGTCAAAAAGACAAAAGAGGAACAGTTTTTATTTATTTTCAGTAATAATAGTTTTCTTTTCCCAATAAATATATACCGAACTTTGAGGATAGAAGAATAAATTGTCATCTGAATAAAAGTAAAATAACCACATCTTCCAAAATGTTAAGCTACTAAAAAATACCAGCAGGTTTGATATTGAGCAACAAGAAAAAAACAATTCTAAAATGTTTTCATTCATGTCCATCTTGTGAAGATCACATTTTATTGACCACAACACACATCACATTATCTTTACAGGAATGAAGGAACAATACATTTTTATATCATGTCAATAAATCGTACAGCTATAGAAAGAGATGTACTTATTTAAACCTATGTCGTAATGAAACAGCACGCTGCTGCTCATTTCAAGTCCTCCGGCAGCACCCTGCCTCTCTTCCTCAATCGGTCCTTCGTCTTCTCTGTTTTGGCCTTCTTCTGTTTCTGGATGTTCTTCCGTCTCTTGTCCTGCCGTTTCTGCATCTTCCCCACGACGTTCTCGCTTCGTTCGCCCCAGTTCTTCTTTATCGTGGCGCCCCTCTTCTCCTTCTTCTTTAACGAGGAGCGCAGCATGTCCTCGTCGTCCTTAATTTTGAGTCCTTCGGCCTTGTAGAGCACGTTGGTCCACTTGATCTTGTTCTCCATTTCTTTGGCCTTGTCCTCGTCCTTTTCCCTCAGCTCGCTCACTTTTGCTTTTTGAGCCTGGACGCGGCCAAGCAGCTGCTTGTAGTTTTTCCCCAGCAGGGGAGTTATCTGGCCCTTCACGCTCTGCTTCTTCTGCTTCTTCTTCTGTATTTTGTCCACGTACTCCTTCTCCACCATCTCCACCTTGTTGAAGACGAGGGCCGTTACATCTCTTTTGTTCGCAGCGGGGGCGGGCTCAGGTTCTTTCTTGATCTCCACTGGCGCTTCTTGGCTATTCTCTTCAGCCAGTTTCTTCTTCAGGATAAACTCTTTCCTCTTCCTCTTCTTGCGCTCCCGTTCTATCTTTCGTTTTGCTCGCTTTGCCAGCACGGCCTCAGAGAGTGCGTTCTTCGGGGTTCCCTGATAAGAAAAAAGTGCAACTTGTTAGTCAGACAGACATTTCTCTTAAGCGTTGCACAGTATTCAGTCCAGTGCTGTACTAGCATTACATTTTGAGCTACTTTTACTAAAGTTTTTACATTTGTTGCTACTGTATACAATGTATCTGATAGTTGGAGTTACTTAACATATTAAGAGTTGACATTAAAACGTATGGCAAACCTCAAAAATATGATACTGTGCTAAAAAACGAACTATCAGACATTAATATGGAAGTCCTACTTACTTAGAATCAAGAGGTCAATAATATGATATAAGAACATATATTTTTACAGAGCAGTATTGCTACTTTCAATTGAGTTAAAGATAGAATAATTTCTTCCGTCATCCACATGTTGAACTGAACAGCACCAACTATAAACTAGTGAAAAGATCAATGAAAACAGGAACATGCACACATTTTGAATAGATCTCTGGCCAGATTGGCACATAACGGCATCTGTTTGATATCTTTTAGGTAAATACTGACTTGTTTACAGGTTTTAATACCATGGTTGCAGTTGAGTTTACCGTCTCAGCTAAAGTCAGATCGTATTAGATAAATGCTAATGAGTAATGTCATTCAAATCTTGAATAAATAAATCTGCATCATCTTTAAATCTGCATACCTGTCCTCTGGACTCCTCGATTTTTTCATGAAGTCTCTTGCGTAAAACGTTGACGGTGGAGAAGTTGGACGGTACCTTTCCTCCTTTAAGAGAAAAAAAAATATGTGACTAAGAATTTTGAAATGACAAAAAGTAACAGAGTAATGGATTCACTTGCGGTACCTTTAGGCGCTGGTTTTGTCGATCCGTTTATTTGAGTTTTTGGCTGTTTTGCGGCAGGGGGGGCTTTCTGAGCAGCTGCTGAAGGAGAGGGCTTTTTGGGGGATTTGGGATGAGGCTTCTTCACATCTTTAAAACTCTTCTTCTTCTTTGGAGGACCAGTCTCGCTTTTACCCTTGAAAGGAGCTACACAGAGATAAAACATGCATTAATGATCACATGTATTCAACATGATGTCAACTGGACTGCCACAGCTCTGGAGTTTATTACATGAACAGACTAGGAGCTTAAACATGCTTAGGCAATGCACTGAAACTGAAAAAGTCAGAAGCTTTTCTGTGAACCAAAAGGAAATAGATAATATTTATCTTAATTCCCTATTCTCTAAAAGAAAAATATCAAAGTCAGCTGATTTAGTGGCGGAAACTTAGTTTCAGAAAGTCATCAATCTAGCTGTACCATTTTACATGATATTATCTAAGAGATTTTGTATGATGTTTAAAAAATGCCTTCAGTTGTGCACAACAACTCATTCCTTAAAGTCCTATTCATATTCGGAATACATGACAACCAATGGAAAGCAGCAACATAAATGCATTTATGAAGCAAAGAAAGGAGAATGCAGTTTTGTGCTTGGTAAATGACCAAAATGTTATAATCATTTCAAAAACAGTAGTCTATTTATTCAGTAGAAAATACTTCAATTGCATTGACTGTAAATATCATCATAGAATCAAAAGGGACAAACAATGTCAACAGAATTGTAACAAATTAATAAAAACAATAAGCTAAAGGGCATTTTCTCACAGGCATTCATTATGTGCAGAAGTATTTTTGCTGTATTATTTATTTCACTGATTTGCAGCAGAGTGCTTGTTCTCTCATAAAAACATCAAAAAGCATTACATTTATGGATTAAAATAAATAAGCATTCAACATTAGAACTCCACTCGTTGTTCTCCACACAGTGCAGCGCCTCCTCTGGTCACATGCAGTAATAACCGCATGTTTAATGACACTTTATAAGCTTAAGTCATTTTCTACCACCAATAACACATAAACTATAAACCGCCCATTATAAATACAGTTAACTTATAGGCAAGTATTATATCCACGTTATTTTGTAAATACGGTAAAACGTTACCAAACGGTCTCTTCTTCGGCTCCTGCTCTTGCTGAAAAAACACTTTCTTCGCAAACTTCTGCATGTACGAGTCTTTAGCGGCGAGGTCCATCATGATGGAAGAACCGTGAAGCTGTCTGAGATGATCCAAACAGACAGAATACAAACAGAGTTTCTTCTCAGAAAATATCAACACATTTCTGAAACATGTGGTCCACACGCCGGGGCGGAGCGTCACAAACCGGAAGGGGTAACACCATAAGCGCTCCCCCTTCTGATCATTATGTAGGATAGCTGTTATGTAGTCGGACCATTTTAAAACATATTTGCATTAGTATTTCACTGAGAATGGCTTCTTTAAAATCAGCACTTGTTTATTCCAACAGGGTCTTAACGACCCTGAAGAACCAGGTAAGTTATTTGTTTAATTGCCAGTTTTTCATTATAAAGAACCTTCACCGTGTTGTTGTGAATGTCACTTTCCAGTGGTTGCAGATTTTGTTCCTCTTCTGATTGTTGTTATTTATTTCAGACACATGTTATTTATATCAAGAGGACTCTCCTCCTGCCCAGACTGCCTCTCTTCAAACGTGCAGAAGGTAATTTATTTGAACATTATTTGGATACTTTCGCACATTTCCGCACAGAACTACTTCTTCAAAAAACTGCACAGCATCTCCACTCTAAATGACTAATTATGGACAGTAATGTCAATATTTTTGTGTTGTGAATTCGTTTTGTATTCTACTCTATATTTATGTTTCAATAATGTTTTTTGCAATACCTACTAAGTGCATATGTACCAGTATACCAGAACAAATTGCTTGTATGTAAACCTGACTGATAATCATACTAGAAGCCTGTTTCTTAAAACAAATATTGCACACATTTAAAGACATAAAATGTATAATACTAATCTAGACAAAGCAAAGAAAGAAATCATGCAATAAAATAATAAAATATGAGTCATACATAAAGATTGAAACCATTTTGTACAATGTCTTGGTTTACCTTTTTGTTCAGCTTTTTTCTCCTTGTCTAAAGCTGGATTTGTATTGATGTGTAAACTGACAGCCGGTAAAAGAAAAAGTGTAGACGATAAGTTTGGATTCTAATGCTTAAAGTGAATAACCTCCTGATGGTACGTCTCTTTTTATATTTGTGAGCAAAGCGTATGGGGTACCATCCCTATATTCTTTGAGAGTAAATGTTTTACACATATACTTTACCTTCTTCACTTCCTGTCCTGCATGTTGTGAACAGGCAGGCTGATCACCTTCGGGCGCCAGTCGTCCTCCACAGCAGCCGAGGCTCAGAGAGGAGAAGACTCCTTCCTCAAATGGCTCCTGCTGCTCATCCCTGCCACCACCTTCGGCCTTGGTACATGGCAGGTCTCTCTTTTTATTTATTTAGTGTCATAGCACTGTTTAAAATAATGCTGATGTATCTTCGGTTTGCTGTCGTTGGATGGACTCTGATAGTTGTGTTTCTGTGAAGGTGAAACGGCGTCAGTGGAAGATGCAGCTGATCTCTGAGCTGAACCGACTCACGACTGCTGAGCCCATCCCTCTGCCTCTGGAGTAAGATCATGTTAGAGGCAAACACCCACACACTATTAGTTTATAAATCCATACTTTTATTTTGATCTGGACAGTTTTTCTTTTTTTCTTTTGTTTTTCAGTATAACCACCTTTTACAATTCAGAAAAATGTAAGCACTCAGACTATAAAGGGCATAATCAATCCAAACACTAACAGAAGAATCATTTGTTCCTCATTGCGAGCGGTAAGAACACAACATTATTTTATAGAAAAAGTGATTTCAAAAGCACACATCTCCAATTGTGATACTGTGAACAACATTACTTATGTTTGTTCCTTGATAAAATGCACTTTAAACTATTTTCTGGCCAATTGAAGCCTTAATCAGGGAGATAGATTTAAAAATGTGAGTGGTGATGAAATGTGTTAATGGCCTGCATGGAGGATTCAAACCTGTGTCCGCCACAGCAGGGACTAAACCCCTGAACAGCACTTTAATAACTTAACAAATAACTACAATCCCTCCTCTTACAACTGAGGGTACGACATGGCCTTGTATCCCCCCCTCTTCTTCTAATTCTTACTATATACCTGTATAAAGTTTACATGTAGTCTGTTTCCTCCCTGGGTCTTAGACCTCATGAGCTGCAGAGCCTGGAGTACAGACGGGTGAGAGTGCGAGGACAGTTCGACCACTCCCAGGAGCTGTACGTCCTCCCCCGCTCCCCTGTGGACCCCGAGAAGGAGGCCCGGGAGGCGGGCACGCTGTCCTCCAGTGGAGAGACCGGCGCTAATGTGGTCACCCCCTTCTACTGCACCGACCTCGGGTAAGACAACACATAAAACACTGTGAAGGGAAAATAATAACTGCATAGTCTTAAATCCAACACTCACTGCTCCATTCTCCTGCAGCATCACCATCCTGGTGAACAGAGGCTACGTGCCGAAGAGGAAGATCAGACCAGAGAGCAGGATGAAGGGCCAGGTGAGGGCTTCACATGATTTTACATGATTTAACCTACTCCATCATTTTCAAACCTGTAGTCCCCAACCAATGCCATCTCAGGTGACAATACTTTAGGAGGTTTTGTCTTTTTGTGCAGTTTCCTCTGCAGCCAGAGAGTACTACTTGAATCGTTTTTTAATGCAAGTTGAAATTACATTTAAAGGAGAGGTGTCATGGCCATTTCCACTGATCATAATTCCATTGTTGAGGTCTACTAGAATAGATTTATATTGTGACATTTTCCAAACTCACGTTGGTTTCTCATACAGCATCTCTGTAAACTACGTGTATTCACTGAATTTCACTCTCTGCCTTTAACGGCTCGTTGTAGCTCCAATAGCTCCAGCCCCCACCCTCCCTGTGAGCACAGTGTGCTCTGATTGGTCGGGACGTTGTGAATCGCGCTGAGCTCCGTGGAGGTGTTGTTTCCTTGTTAGCGATACACAGCCAAACACAGCAAAACTCATCCTGAGCACACACAAAGTCACAGCCGAAGTAAAAACAATAAGTGTGGCTTGATATTGAGTAAGAAAAAGGTTGATAAACGCTGTGAGAATGGGTCTGCAGAGAGAATTTTGCCCCGATCCCAACTGTCTGTTATCAGCCTGCAGCCAGGGAGGAGAAATCAGCTGAGCTCCCTGCTCCCTGCACACAGATGTGTGTGTGTGTGTGAGGAAGTCTGTGGATTGGTCAATTTGGACCAATCAGCGGGGGCTTAACGCAACGGCTCCGCTGACCTAACGTAACTGCTCCACGGATTGGTCCATTTCGTTCCGGGTACGGCTTGACATCATGCCGTACCCGGAAGAATCAAATGGACAATGACGTATCTCCAACGAGGCGTTTTGGGGAGGTATTTTCTGTGTTAGAGTTTTACTCGCTACAGGGTGTACTTTGAGGGTTTTGACTCTGCACACCGTTTACATGCAGAAAAACCTTCATAACACACAAGGGGACGGGTAATAACCGGAAAAGCATGACACCTCTCCTTTAACATCTACCCAGATCTGCATGGAGCAGGTTAATTTATAAAAATAAAAAAAGACATTTCCAACTACTTCTAAAATATTCGAATAGTCATATGATAATAGTGATAAAATCCTACCTCCCTTGTTTTAGTATTTTTTTACATTTGGAATTTGATTAAGCACATTTTAATACCTATTAAGGCTTTTTTTTTAAAGGTTCATTTATTCTAGTTTCAAACAATACATTCACATAGCTCTCTTCTGTAGCAAGACAATTGGTTAGGGCCGTAATTGATTCACAGTACAAGTAATAGTACAAGTAATAGTAGGGATGGGATTTAAAACCAACCTCACATTTGATATACTTACATTTGTGGCGTTTAACTTATTAAAACAGAATGTAATGACTGTTCTGTGCAGGTGGAGGGGGAGGTGGAGGTGGTCGGGGTCGTGAGGCTGACGGAGATTCGTAAACCCTTCGTACCGAACAACGACGTGCAGAGGAACCAATGGCACTACCGCGACCTGGAGGCCATGGGCGGGGTCACCGGGGCCGAGCCCGTCTTCATCGATGCATCCTTCGGTAAGAACTACAAAGACCAGGATGCACTTTGACTCAACTAGATAATATTAAATATACTGGTGGTTATTAACTTGGACGTTATTATACCACAGAATAGAGATTTTTTAAAACCTGCTTGCTTAAATAAATGTAATTATTCATTTATCATGCAGAGAGCACTATACCTGGTGGACCAATAGGAGGACAGACCAGAATTACACTGAGGAACGAACACATGCAGTACATAGTAACATGGTAGGTCCTAAATCCTATCTCTAAAGCTACTGTACTGTAAATAATCATGTTTACTGAGTTTGGTCTATTTCTCCTCTTAGGTACGGCTTGGGTGCAGCGACCTCCTACATGTGGTTTGCAAAGTTCATCAAGAAGATGAAACTGTGATTAAATGCAGTGATTGCAAAGCAAATTTATGATGAACTTGATGTGTGCTGTATCAGCTGAAGCCTGGATTTGTAAATAGTTGTGTATTATTCTCCTGAAACGAGTATAAGAGAATACATTAAAATCTAAGTGATCTCTTGCATTCTTCATGTTAACAACTTGTTTTCATTAACTGATGGAGACACTCAAAGTTTAATATTCCTTAAAATAGAACACATTTTCTGCAGTAGTTTTTAAGCTTTTCAGCATACAATATTAATTAAAGTGAAGTACAGTGCATATATCCCTTATATCCCTTCACAGAACTAAAGTATGCTTTTAAAAAGGTTTAATGAGATGATGGAATCAAAGCTGAACTGTATAACATAAAAAGGCACACATGCTGAAAACTGAACCGCAGAAAGGGGGTCTGGGGGGATTCTCCCCCAGGAGATTTTTAGAAATACTAACATATAAACAACGCATTCTGGTACACTCTGAGAAGAAAATAAATAAATCTATTACTACCCGACATATTAATAATATTTTATGCCATTGTTTCTTTTTCACTTTGTTCTTACTTTAAATTGTGGGTAGGGTAGATAGCTCCCATTGTTCTGTGACCTGTCAATCATCAAACCGGGGGTCCTATTTCATTATGTGTTCATTTTTATCTGAAGTTGTACCCATGGATGTATAAAGAATAGTTCTACCGCAAAGTTATTCTCCGTGGGGACTTCCGGCAACAATCTTGATTCTGATTGACCAGAGACTCGAAAAAACACCAGCAAAGATGTTTTATTGAGAAGATGATCACTACGTGACAGAAGTTTTCAAAACCGTTTATGGTCTCCGGGTACTTCCAGTCCAACGCCTACTGCATGCACAGCGTTAGAAAATCAGGCCCTCAAAATAAAAGTTTGACCTTTATCCAAAAAAAAACACTCACATCTGCGACCCACTAGAAACGGGTAAGTGGGTCGCGACCTTTATATATACAGTCTATGGTCGCGACCCACCAGTTGAGAACCACTGACTTAGAGGACATGTTTTTAAGACAAGGATTTCATGCAGTATGGAATTTTCTAGGTATGGAAAAATATCGTTTTAAAGATTATTCCTGGTGTTTAGAAAACATGTATTCAGAATTTTTAAATATCATACGATACAAGCAGTGTTTATATCCCTTCTGTTACAGTAGGGGTTAAAGTATGACATTATTTCAATCGACTTTACAATTTGATATGCAATACATTTACTTTACACTCCTAATTGCAGCTAAATCTAAACAGTACTTTCTCAACATTCACAAACATTAATTTAGGGAAGCACTTTGATTCCAAAATACTGAATATTCAAATGACAGACACGATTTCTTTTAGGGGATACATCTTTTATTTCAAAACAATTTAACATAAAATCACAGTTACACACTCCAACATCAAGTGTTAGCAGTTTGTACAGAACCTTAACGTCAAAATTAAGACATAAAATGTAAACAGACAATCCAAATGACAAACATTATGGTGAACGTAAATAAAATGGAATCAAGGAGGATGTTCACATCTTGCCCCAAATCTAAAGAGGAAAGTCTTAAATGTAGAGAGCCTCCAAACAAACACTGGAGCTGGTTCACAGGAGAGGATCTCGCTGAGGACACCTGTGACCACGGATCTGAAAATAAAGTTGGATAAAGATTTTAAAAGTGCATTGTGTTTTTATTTTAAAATTGAATTTCAAACAGATAATTTTTACATTGATTTATTTTTTGCATAAGATTCAAAGAAAGAAAAAAAGGATAATGGGGATACATTTGTTTAGAGATGCAACTAACCAGTCATGTGCACCGGTCTGCCGGTCCAGAGCCTGGGTGACCTGCTGGACTGCAGGGTGACCTGGTGACGTAGAGGATGAACCTCTCCGGGCGGATGTAACGAGGCCATTTCACAAAGCTCAGCAAGTGGGCTGGATATCCTGGCCTGTTGGAAAAAGACAATATTTGTTCAGTATCTGAAATCAAACTTAGGACTTTTTTCTTTCTGAAGCTTAAGTGCATCAGCGATCTTGGTGATTCAAGTTGTCTTCAGTGTTCTAAAGATAGCAAATATTTGTTACATCATCTGCACAGTTGTTGCCTAGTTCTTACATAAATCAATAAAGTTTACTCACCGATGCCAAGGACTACTTTCTTGGCCACTGAAGGGGCAGGTGCCACCATCTTCTCTTCTTTCCCGTAGGCTGTCAAAGAGAAAACAAGTGTTAGGATGCATTAAAGAACAAAATACAAACAAACTACTTGACACAAGAAAGCCTTAACATTTTTCCTCTACAGTGTATTTTTAGTGTGATATCCCACTTTGCCAAACTTATGAGACCCTTTGAGTTATCCACCTTTATAAGAGCAATTATTTCAGCACTGATAACATGAATGGATTATTGCACCCATCAAATCACCCATCACCTTTGATAAATCAATTGTCCTTTTGTATACTAGATTGACTGTTTGGTCCATTAAAAGTCGGTCAATAGTGGATGGACTTAACAAGTCGACTTAGGCATTGCAGATCTATATTTTGTAAGCATATTTATTTGAAAAATTGAAGACTTTCTGTGCAGACTCACGGGTTTGTCTGTGTGAAGGCCACTGAAGTGCACCAGTCTGCCCAGTCCAGCATTTCCCTTGGCAGGAAGACGACAAGCTGGAAAAACAGGCAGAACATTTTAGTATTTTAAGAACAAATGTGCTTCTTTTAATGTAAAAATGTTTGCCTGGTCAACACACTCTCACTCCATAAACGTCCAGGAGCGACGCTTGGTCAGGGTCCCGAGGCGTGCAGTTGGGACGCTCCTAGGCTCCTTCAGCTTCATAAACAGACGCAACTAGCTTTCAACTGATTGCAATGTATTCCCATCTGCGGCGGGATTTGATGCTCATGGAAGCACGGCATTCGTTTGTCTCGGCGGCTGTTAAAGGCAATGTGAGCGTCCATTCCCATTGGATAACGGAGAATTGTACACAAGGAAGTAAGTATTCCCCTTACTGTCGATTGATTTGACAGTGATATCTCCATTACTCATCAACTCAAAAACACCAGATTATCCTTGTTAATTAAACGACATTGATAGGTTTTAGTGTGTGTACAATGCTTTTGTCACGTTTTCCGCTTCAATTCTGAGAAACAAGTCATTTTCTATGAGTTTTGGATGGCCGAAGACATTACATTACCCACAATCCTCTGTAGCAACCATAGACTGTATATTGCAACAGGCAACAGCTTCGGTTCATGTTAATTTACAAACTCTTCAACTACAACCGTAGTTATATTTAAAAACATGTTAGAAGGCCTCACGAAATACTTTAATGTAAATTAAAATTTAAATGTGAAGGAATGTGTGTATATTAACTGTGGGTTTTTCTCTGGAAGTTTTTCCTTGTACGATGTGAGGGTCAAAGGACAGATGATGCCGTTTTTCTCATACTGATATTCCGCTATGCACGCTGGGATTTGGTGTTTATGCGATGTGAAATCCGAAAACATTAAAAATAATAATACATTATTCCGAGTGTGCTTGCTTTTCTCTTTGAAAGTCATCACATAACGGCATTGTAATACACGTTTCGGCTGCATTAAATATTACATATCTGCCGTAGTTGTCTATTTATAGAGCCCTGATGAGAAGACTTCTAGACAAACAGGAACTGCCGCCAAAACTGAAAACTTGACGTGGATCTTAAATATATAAGCAATTAAACAACATCTTACATTTCTTTTCACACAATACGTCTCCTTGCAGTATCAACACTAATTCGGCTGACTTTTATATTTGATCCAATTGGCAGATAGGCTGTATTTACGCCATAACGGTGCACAGCTGATAGAAAGGGACACCTAATGGTTAAAGCACGTTATTGCATTTTATAATTTTACTGTGTGTGCTGTGTGCTCTGCATGTGTGACCATCAAAGAGGGTTTCATCCCTCCATATTCATCTTCTATACCCCCAAAGCTTTTTTCTTATTCAAAAGAAGACCTTAGCCTAAAGTATTCTTTAATGTTTAAATAAAGCCTTATTAGTTGGTCTGTTTTGCACATCCTCCTATTAATATCTAATAATAAATTATAAAATGCAATAACGTGCTTTAACCAGTAGGTTGTAGTGCCGAGAGATAGGGAGTCGGAGGCGGTGCAGTGAAGGTGAAAAGTGGTGCTTTAATGAGCAGCAGAAATGCACATGCTGTCGGGTCGCAGCCCGGGAAGACAAGAGAAAGCGAAAGGGAGGAGGACACAGCATATACCCCGGAGGTACAGTAAGCATTAGTGTCCGTGCGGAACAATACCCCCAACCTGTAGTTCCTTGATTGAATTATGTAACCCAGTGTATTAATAAGTGATCACTACACAAGCCCCCCCAGAATTCAACCATGGACACAATCCTCGCGTCCGGGAGGAAGCACCACAGGGGCCGAGGAGGGCGGGGCCGCGGGCGAGGGCCGGGCCATGGAACGGGCCGTCGGAAGGGGGCCGCAGGAGAGGGTAGGGGCCCCAACGAGGGCGAGGGCATCCCCACCGGGTCGGAACGGGCCGTCGTCAGGGGGCCGCAGAAAGCAGGGTCGCGACACGGGGGCGGGCGTGAATATCCCGGTGGTCCCCAGCAGGGAGGAGCGCTGCCCGGCTGCAGGCAAAGGCACAGCGGCGGCGGGCACGAAGTCCCCGGAAAGAAGGAGCGGTATCCCCGGGGGGCAGGAGCAGCATCCCCGGGCGGAAGGAACCGTGGACAGGGGAGAGGCCAGACGGGGTCAGACGGGGCGACGTCCGAAGCCGCCGTCGAGGCGAACCGTGAGCCGCGGTTAGAGGAGAGGCCAGGCAGGGTCCGGGAGTGCGCCACCCACGGGCCGATGAAGGCGTGGGCGACGTCCGAAGCCGCTGCCGAGGCGAAGGAAGAGGCCAGACAGGGTCCCGAAGCGCGCCACCCACGGGCCGATGAAGGCATGGGCGACGTCCGAAACCGTAGAGTCGAGGCGAGACGGGGTCCAGAAGCGCGCCACCCACGGGCCGAAGAAGGCATGGGCGACGTCCGAAGCCGCCGTCGAGGTGGCGAAAAAGCGAGAGAGTCCACACGAGGCCGACCAGACATGGTCGAACCTCCTCTCAGGCACCAGAA